CAAAGTCCATCCCCTGCCTCAGTGTATTGTCGTATAAATATGTGTACATGGGCCACAATAGAGTACTATGCATCACTAAAAAGCACTGGTGAGCACATGAAACACATCTTTTCATGGGAAGAGTTGGAGGAAATGATGCTGAGTGAAGTCAGCCAATCACAAAAGGAAAAGTACAGCATGAGCCCCGAGGTCAGTGTCATCAGCACGGTAGATAAAGAAGAGAGCCCATGTATATCATAACATTTGGGCTGAGATACAGGGAATTGGGATGAGGTTGGCCCAAACCCAAGGAAGTACATGTTGGTCCAATACAAAAATGGGAAAAGGAGGGTGAAAGGGGGAGGGGGAATTGAAAGTGAAATGATGACAGAGGGAGCAGAGCACTCTGCCTCTTTAAGGACTTGCTGAAAAGCAGAAGCTCACTAAAGGCTAGTTTTATTTTTCTCCTTTTTTCATAAAAGTGAAAATTCTTTGGATTTCTTATGGTTAGCAATAACAAGGACCACTGTAGGTCTTTTTAAGAGCGTAAGTGAAATAAAACAAGTTTTCCAAAGGTGGAAGATACATGCATTATCAATAAATCAATCAAGCTCCCCAGTATGTAGATAATAGCCGTAGTGCTTCCAGCCTTCTAAGAATGGCAGGATATTTGTGTTCTGAGTCATTGTAGGTCCTCCAGGCTGGTGTAGCTTCTGTTCCCCAGCCACATGTTTGGACCTGAACAGTTCACACCAGCTTCATGATGCAACCAGATGACTGCTTCAGAGAGGCAGGTGTGTAGAGCCCTTGTTTAGGGTTGCTGTGAGTCTGAATGGACTCAAGTGGTCATGTGTTGTATCGCCTTCTACGGAGTCATGTGGGCCAGACTGCCTTAGTCTCTAATAGAGGCACTGAAAGCAGACTTTCACGGGCTCCAGAGGTTTGAGTGGGAAGTTGCCTAGACTTTGGCTTTTCTCTTATTGTACCTTATCTGTTTGAATAGGGAGTGCCCCATCCCAGATTTTGATGTTGCTAAAAAGCAGCCAGTTGGCTTCCTATAAAAAAGTAAAGTAAAGATCAGTGATGTGATCAGTGTTAAACTTTCATAGTTTAGATTTGTATTCATTATTGCGGGTGTTTTGCCCCTACCTTCACCCTTTCCTCTTTTTCAATAAAGATTTCATGATCCACTATCCAGAGAGCATTCTAACACTGATCCATGTTCATTTTTCCTTCTCACCACTTTCTTTTTTTGGCTGTGAGAAACAGAATTTTACTCCCCTTACTGTCCCCCTAGTTTTCTTTTCCCCTTCCTTTTTCTGTCACTTACCCTTAAATATGATGGTGTGTCTGTAGTCTCCTGCAAAAAGGAAACTAATGGAGAGACAGAAATTCACAGCTCTGGAGAAATAGACCTCTACTCGTGGCAGTGTGATCTCAGCTCCTGAGCTCACTTCTCTTGGTGGGGCTCATACTGGCGGTGGTCCCCTTACCAAGCATTGGCATTCAGTTACCACCTTCGTGTTTTTATAAAGATACCTTAAATTTCTCGGTCTTGCTCCTCAAGGCATTCACATTTGACAATATAATAATTAAATATAATTCACATTTGATAAGATGATAAATTTAAATTGGAACTCAAGTTGGAGTAAGTCTTTACATTTTTTATATTTTGAAATAATAAGCAAGGTATAGAAACATGATTTAAAGGCGCATACACAAAAATGTTCTAAAGTTAATTACAGTAAAACCTACTTTAGCCTCAGTTCACTTCTCAACCTCGTAGCCCCAGTCTACTAATTTTCAAAGTAAAGGGTAAATCATAGGAAAACACAGTACAAGTGCTGTTGTTATAATTTATAATACTCAGACTTCGTACAGTTTTGCTATTTATCCATTTGCTGCCTTCGGCTTTCTGTAATTAGAAAAAATTTACATTTGGGATTTTGGCGTTTATGCTTTCTAATAAATTGCGTATGTGTTCATGGGTTTAAGATATGTTTTTCCGTGTTTTTAAATTGTTATAACTTCACACCTTTTTGAAATCTGCCCTTCAAAATTTGTTTGGCTTAAACGTCAAAGCCGTGACAATTTGTTCTTTGATGTGATTGTATTTCCAATTTCTTGTTCATGTAAGATTTCAATAAAACTCAAAAATCTATTTTAAAAAAAGATGTTTTTAAGGGCTTTGTAACCTAAAAACACTTGAACATTCTAAGGTGATTATTTACTTGTACCCGTTATAAGGTAGGGTTAGAATGGGTATTTCTAGAAATTTCAGCATGAATGGGAAGGTTTTGGGGGTGTGCACATGGTGAAGCGCTTCACTACCAGCCAAAAGGTGGGAGGTGTGGACCTACACATAGATACCTGAGAAGACAGGTCTGAGGTGATCTACTTCTGAAATGTCACAAGCATTTGGACCTCGGAAACCCTGCAGAGCAGTGAATCACCGCCGCCAGTCCATGTCCAACTCCGTGGCAGCAAGCAACAAACACAAATGCTTTTTGGAGGGTTTTTATTTCTGTAAGCTTATAGGAAATAAAAAACTTGACCACATTTCCACTTCCTTAAGCATACTCCAATGCTTCTTCCTCTTTATTTTTTAATCTAAAAGCAATTTTGGAAAACCTATTAACATTCAAATTAAAGAACAACTTCCAAGAGGGGCTCTTGGCCAACATCATTAGGTAGGAAAAGGGAACCTATTGATTTTAAGTGTCGTTTGTATATGAAAGCATTACAGATAGTGGCATATTTGGATGATAACATGGCAAAGTCCCTCATGCGATATCCTTGAAGAATAGGACTGAACTGTGAGTGGGATGATAATACAGTAAGACAGATTTGTAATTGAACTCGTTCTTGTCACCTAGAGGGATGTGGCATTCCAGCTTGGTCCACATTTTGAATCATTGATTGGAATGTGTACGGACAGATAACATGGGTTTTTGTTTTGTTTAATTCATAGTTGGCATAAATCCTAATAAATTGGATGACAAGTTTAGAAAACAAAATTATCTTGATGGAGTAATACAGAGAATCTCATTACCAAGATCACTCTTAATAAAAGCATAAATGTAAACTCTTGGTCCTGCAAAAAGTGAAAATTTTTAACAAAATAGTATTTAAAAATGGAGTTTCTGAGGCATATCTAATGACATAGACAATCATTCACATATTTGAAGTACTAGATTAAGAATTATATTACAATGGAATATCCATTGTATTTTAATATATGTTTTATAAAATATTAGCGATACTTCTAGTAATATGATTAGAGTTAGTTTTCTTTTCTTCTTTCTTGCATTTTTGTTTATTTCCAAGTTATTCTCCAGGGAATATGAACCTTAAGTGTAAAGCACCCTTTATTTAATGCTAAGAAAGTGTTTTAATGTTTTTGATGGCCTGCTTGTGCAACCTGAGAATGTGTTTATAGTGCTACAGTAAAGATGTCCTTCCTCCTGTGTTTGAGAGGGGTCCTGGTGGCTTATGGATTGGGCTACTAACTGTCAGTCAGCAGTTTGAACCCACAAACCACTCCTCAGGAGAAAGATGAGGCTTCCTGATCCCTCAAGATTTAGAGCCTCCGAAACCACAGCAGTTGGAATGCTCCATTAGTCAGTGAGAGGCTGAGTGAGGGCATTGATTTGACTGTGATCATAGCCGCAGTCTGAACAACCTGACAGGCAGTGCCCTCGGTGGTGTTGCTTTCTCAGCCCACAGCTGTGAGTCTATTGAATTGCTTCTCACGTTTTTCTCTACCACAGGTTGAATTAATAAAGGGGAATTTACAGAGTGTCGGACTTACACTCCGTCTTGTCCAGTCTACCGATGGGTATGCTGGGCACGTCATCATTGAAACGGTGGCCCCAAACTCACCTGCTGCGATTGCAGATCTTCAACGGGGTGATCGACTCATTGCTATTGGAGGTAATTATGCTCATATGAAATACACCTTACATTCATGAAAAATAACAAAGTAGATGTGAGGTTTTTCAATCTCATTGCTTTTATAATAAGCACATACTATTTTCATGATAGAAAGAAAGAAGTGTTATTATAAATTAAAATCTGAAAGAGACCTTAAAGATAAGATACATTTAAAGCAGATGTCATTTTAGCCCAAGTGTGTGAATGTAGTGTTAAATTAAAATGGCGAGGAGGTGGGGGGCCAGCCCCCACCGCTAATCGCGGGTTCAGTAATACTACTTCTGGGTTCAGTAATGCACAATTGTATGGTTGAGATATATAAGTATTATATTAAAGTCATCGAGAGCATGAGATATATTACAGTAATACAGTTGGACATATTATATGGTAGCATTGCTCACCTCAACCCAGCTTGGTGGTCCACGTGGAGGGAGGGAGAAGAGAAGGAGGGAAAGGGAACAAGGGAGAGGGGAATGACCAGGGAGTGAGCAGCAAGGAGGGGAGATCAGAGAGTCAGAGAGGTCAGAGAGCTCTATATTGCTGACTCACACCTATATACCTAGTAGGCAAGCCAGCTCACTAATTACAGGTAGAGACATAAGTCACAGGGAGGAGCTGCACAATAGGTTACACAGCAATGATAGGGTGGTCTAGGGGGTGGTCTCTGGGTCTCCATAGGAACCATTATCAGTAGGGTGAAAACTCCTACAGGAGCCTGTCCATTGTCCCCAGAGGCAGGGAGCAGGCCCACCCCTGTGGTGGGATGAGACAGCAGTCTGGCAACTGATTGCCCTCAGTGTGGGGAATGTCTATCTGACCTCCCCCCACATGTGAATTTTTCTTATTGTTAGATACTATTGAACAATCTCCTATGTACAACAGAATGAAACAGTACCCAGTCCTATGCCCTCCTCATAGTTAAGTTTGAGGCTCTTGATGCAGTCCTGTGTCCGTCTCCTAGAGGGTCATCCTCTTTTTTTTTTTTTAATCATTTTCTTGGGGGTTCATACAACTCTTTTATCACAATCCATACATCCGTCAATTGTGTAAAGCACATTTGTACATTTGTTGCCCTCATCATTCTCAAAACATTTGTTCTCCACATAAGTCCCTGGCATCAGCTCATTTTTCCCCCTCCCTCCCCGCCCCCATTCTCTTTTTTTAATGACCCTCTACTGTACCAAACATGATATCCTTTTCTGGGTACTGGTTAGTCAACATATGTAAGATCAAATTGTGCCATCCTTGCTCTAAGGAGCACTCTGGCTGTAATTTCTACAAGAGAAATTTATTTCTTTAGATCACTGTTATATAACTTTAATCCTGCTCCTCTTCCCACCTTCTCCTCGTCTGTATTTATTGAATGTGAAAGTAGCAGCACACTAGAAGTCCTGTATGATCCACCACTTCTACTCTGAACTTTATTACCACTACTCCTCCATCACTTGGGACTTAATCATGAACAAGAGAACTGACATTGCTTGTCCAAAAGAATGTGAACCTGAGCTGTTTTCTAGCCCCCTATTATCCCTGAATGGTCAACCTTGAGTTACTATGTTTTTATTCCAGATTCACTCTAGATCACTACCACCAGTGAAAAGCAGTTTCAGCTACATGCCTTCCTGACAGTTGGACTGTTAACAAAGGGAGGAAAACAATGCTGTGTTGGTAGGCAGATGATTTGTGTGGCTGTGTACGAATAAAGAGCAGATCTCACTGGCCATGGCAATGGGAAGAACATCCAAGCCTACCTATTCTAAGCACATCCAAAGATGTCTTGAGCATGTGGTAGGTCAGAGCTGGTCTTTGAGGGACAACGGGTGTCCTCATAACTGAGACAGCAACTACTGTCCAAAACAGAGTCGGTCAGTCCCCAAATCAAAAAGCACTTCTCCTCCAGGCACGTCACAGGAGCTCTGTCCTTACTTCAAATCTGTAATTACCATGACACAATGCAAATCATTCTGTTGTAAACCTGGGAACCCAATTATGTGCATGTTTCCACATGGAAATCTGTCCTCATGGATAAGCAGCTCTTCTCAAACTTATGTGGATTCCAGTCACTTGGACTTGATGAATGTAGATTCTGATTCAGTCACCCGGAGGTGGGGCCCATGAGTCTCCATTTCTAACAAGCTTTCAGATGAAAATAAATGCTGTTGGTCTACAAGGGGCATTAGACTTCATCCTTTATGTTGTTGCTTAACATAAACACAGTCACCCTCCCTCAACTAAAAATGCAATCCAGTGTAGTATTTTTATGTCCCTGAGTACCTTGTTCTCATTGTAACTACAAGATAAAATGCTTTTTACTTTTTTTATGTCCATTTTGGATGTTTATTTTAAGTTACAGATAATAAATACTCCTTATTAGATAGATAGGTAGATAAGATAGTGCAAGAAATATCTTTTGCAGTGAGTGAGCAAAAGGCCTCCCTTCACACCTCACATTTTAAAATATTGAGGTGAAGGGTGAACTGTATTTGGTTGCAACTATAATGTAGATTAATGATAGAAAAATTAGAACAGAAAAAACTTTGTCTCCCTTCCTTTTTTTCTACAGAAAACTAAGTCAAACCCACTGTCATCATCAATTCCGACTCCTAATGACCCTACTTAGAGTTTAATATTTATTTATATATGAGTATACAACTATTTTCGTAGCACATAATGCCATTTAACTCAGGAAACCATGAAAAGCTAGCTGTTAGTCGATTGGCACCCTCCTAGGGTTGTTCATGTCATCTTTTGGTGTGAAAGGGTAAACATCTCCAGGATCTCAGTCCACTCAGAGTTTAAGAGTCAATACACTGATGTGTCTTAATGTCAAGTAAAATTGTGTTTTGCTCTTTATAAAATTCTGATTGAGTGGATTTACAGAGCAGATCATCAGTTTTAAATTCAGCATTCATACGCATCTAGTTTTGAGTCATTAATTGCAGTCCCCACAATGTAAACAACATTTATACCCCTTGCTCCCTGTTTCCATTTTTCCTTATCTAACCCTTCTGAACTCTGTCCCTGAGAAATGCTGCCTCTTTGACCTCTACTGGTTGACTATTCTAAGGTGTGTGTACCTCATAGTGTTATTGTTCCCCTTAGAGACCACTCTGTCGTCTGGTTGAAAACTGAGTCATAAAGATGAGTTTAGTTTCAAACCTGAAGGGTGACAAAGGGTTCGTTTTATCTGACCAGTAAGTGATGTTTTCTCTGGTTTTTAGTTTTATGCCACATTCTTCTCCCACTCTACTGAGGACCTTCTAAAATCATTCCTTTCAGAGCAGTAATAGTAGCTGGACACCATTTAGTTCTTCTCTTCTCAAGGTTGTGAAGACTAATGTTCGTGGGTCCATTAGTCCACTGGATTAATTATTTCCCTGACTTTGATTTCCTTTGGACAAGGAGAGCCCCAAAAGGTACATCTTAGATGGTTACTCATGAGTTTTCACAACCCCAGTCACTACTCACCAAAGTGGGACGCAGACATTGGCTTTGTAGGCTAGGTTATACCTATTGGCCTTGGTTTCCCTGGACACTATGGTCCAGGGACTCATCCCTTCAAGGTGTGTTTATAACTTTGCCCCTTGTATGCTCTACCACATTCATGTGTGTTGGCAGCTAAGGTAAATAACCATGTACAAATAATCCTGTTAAACTTGCATGCATGTGTAATATAGTCCCACTTTCCCTCCCACCAAGTAAAATAGCTTTAAGACTTTCCTATTACTTCTTCATTAGTTAGATAATTATGAGGCTGTGGCAATTGTATTTCACAAATTTGGGGTATTTTTATTACAGGAATTTACATAATTTTTCTTTTTTAAATCTTACTGCAGGCGTGAAAATCACCTCCACACTGCAGGTGCTGAAGCTGATCAAGCAGGCTGGTGACCGCGTCCTTGTGTACTATGAAAGACCCATTGGCCAGAATAGCCAAGGGGCAATGCTGCAAGATCAGTTTGGACAGTTGGATGAAAACTTCCTCTCCAGCGCAGGCCAACCAAGTTATGAAGAGGAAGCAGTGGGGTTGTCACTGGATACTGAAAACAAAGACCTAGATTTGGAATTTGAAGACTTGGCAAGTGATGTCAGAGCACAAAATGAGCTCAAAGATGAGACCCCGTCAGTGAGTCACAGTCCCAAACGTACTCCAACCACACTTGCCATTAAACCGGTGGGGACTGTATCACCAGTTCTAAGCCGTAAATTAGTTGTAGGAAGTCACCCACTACCACCAAAACTTCCATCCAAAGAAGGAAATAAACCCTTGGCCCCAAAACCTTCTGAGACAACAGACCCAGCACCAGTGTCAAAACCGACCCCAGGACCTTCTTTCAAACCACCTGTGCCACCACGACCACAACTGAAAGTCCCTTTACCGTCTGCTGACACCCCAAATCAGGTGGAAGCCGACGTGCTTGTTGAGAAGCCAGAGAAAGTGCCGCCGCCACCTGCTGCAGATAAAGCTGCCGAGAAGCAAGCAAAAAACTCAGATCATCCAGAAGAGGCAGCTGCACTTAAGCAGTTTGTAGTGAAGCCAGAAGTGGCTAAAGATTTGCCTTCAGAAAGTTCCTGCCCTCCTAAGGACAGTTCAGATGACCCTCAAACTTGGGAATCGTCAGAAATTCCTTATCGTAATAAGCTCGGAAAATGGACACGAGCCAGAGCAACCTGTTTCTTTGACATAGAAGCCTGCCACCGGTACTTAAACATTGCACTGTGGGGCAGGGATCCTTTCAAGTTGGGGGGCCTCATTTGCTTGGGGCATGTTAGTTTAAAACTTGAAGAGGTGGCTTTAGGATGCTTAGCCACATCAAACATGGAGTACCTTTCAAAATTCAGATTGGAAGCCCCATCCCCCAAGGCAATGGCCACTAGAACTGCGCTCCGCAATCTGAGTATCCAAAAGGGATTCAGTGACAAATTCTGCTTTGGTGACATCACTATCCACTTTAAATATTTGAAAGAAGGTGAACCAGACCACCTAGTTACTAGCTTAGAGAAAGAAAAGGAACTTCATTTGGTCGAAGAGGTTTCTGCTCTACCCAAAGAGGAACCCTTTGTTGGACAGATGGGTTTAGCAGAAAATAAACATAGCTTCCAGGACACCCAGTTCCAGAACCCAACGTGGTGTGATTACTGTAAGAAAAAAGTGTGGACTAAAGCTGCTTCCCAGTGTTTGTTTTGTGCTTATGTTTGCCATAAAAAATGTCAAGAAAAGTGTCTCACGGAGACGCCTCTTTGTGGGGCAATGGACAGGCAAATGGAGCGGACCCTGAAAACCTTCCGGCTGGAAGGACAGGAGACCCTCTTAGGCTTGCCTCCTCGAGTCGAAGCCGACGCTAGCAAGTCTGTCAATAAAACGACAGGTTTGACGAGACACATTATCAACACTAGCTCTCGTTTGTTAAATTTGCGTCAAGTCTCCAAAACTCGCCTTGCGGAACCAGGAACTGACTTAGTAGAACCTTCACCCAAGCATACACCCAACACGTCAGACAACGAAGGCAGTGACACAGAGGTGTGTGGTCCCCATAGTCCTTCTCAACGAGGAAATGCTGGAATCAAGTTAGTGAGAAAGGAGGGTGGCCTGGATGACAGTGTCTTCATTGCCGTGAAAGAAATCGGGCGTGATCTGTACAGGGGCTTGCCAACCGAGGAAAGGATCCAGAAACTGGAGCTCATGTTGGACAAGCTACAGAATGAAATTGATCAGGAATTGGAACATAACAATTCCCTGGTTAGAGAAGAAAAAGAGACAACTGATACACGGAAAAAATCTCTTCTTTCTGCTGCCTTGGCTAAGTCAGGTGAAAGACTGCAAGCCCTTACACTTCTGATGATCCACTACAGAGCAGGCATCGAAGATATAGAATCTTTAGAAAGTCTGTCAGACCAGCACTCCAAAAAAATAAACAAGTACACAGATGATACAGAAGAAGACCTTGACAGTGAAATAAGCCAACTAATAGACTCTCAGCCATTCAGCGGCATGTCAGACGATTTGTTTGGCCCCTCCGAGTCTGTGTAACAGGCCATCTGTTTACATTCTGAAGTGACGGGAAAGTCGCATCTAAAACGCCACATTGAAACCCTCTTTTGTGTACGTTGACCTGCTTCTCCACGGTTATTTGCTTGTGTAAGAACAAGAACGAAAGAGGTAGGGGGCTTCTTTCCAGCAAAAACATGACCAGCTCACTAAATTGATTGTTTGCAGAGTGCATTTATAGCTATGCTCTTTGGGTTTATACAGGGAATTTATTTTTACTAATTTATTTTTAACTTTTTCTAATTATGTAAGCTAACTCCTCATGTTTATCTACTTGTGCTGCCTCATCCAGTTCTTTTCCTTCCTCTGGGGTTTTGAATTAGTGTTAAATAGGGTGCTGTCCGGTTCTTGGTATTCTCATTTCTGTCACTTTTAAACACAGCATGTTTGCTGCATGCCCAGATTGACAGTGGCAATCAATGAGGGAACAGGATTTGATTTTTTTCTTGTGTTAGAAAATTTGTCGCCTTCATTTGCTTGAGATTTTTTTTTTTTGTTTTTGAGGGGCTTGGGGTGCTTTTTGCTTTGTTTCTGCCAAATATCATATGAAAGCTGATCCTGCGGCTTTATTTAGTCTGGTATATTGATTTAGTAAAATACATATTTGACATATGTTGCTGGCCTTCTATGCTAATGTGAAGTTTTTTTACCCGAAGTTATTGTGCAGTTGAAGTTTAGAAAGAATAAACTGATTGCTCTAAAGAGCTTACATTGAAAAACAAAATGTAATGGGCAAATAGTAGGAACAAAATACAGAATGCAGCTGGTCAAGAATTTTATAATGAAGGTACCAAGATTTAATTGCTGGAAAACAGTAACCAGAAGGAATTTTTGAGGTACAATTTTCCACATGTTGATGCTTTCCTTTTAAATGGAAGTTTTAAACATATTTTATTACTTTTCATCTTTAGCTCTCCCATAGGAAATAAAGCATGTACACAGATACTTAAAGCTTCAAAGGACTTCTTAAAATGGCTGTTTTGATATCTGGGTTTAGCTGATTTTGTGTTAGATACATTTTCATATAGGAATATGTGTGAAGGAGAGGAATCTACAGAATGTCTTTGTTGCTTAGTCTGATGTCTTACATTCGGGCTGAGAGGAATGATATTCACCCTCAAGGACTTCTGTAGTTCAAGTTAGGCTCATTCATTAAAAAAGAAAAGTAAGAAAAGTGGGGTAGATAGGCAGGAATTGGGGCTATTTCTCTGAAAATGAACATCCATGGGGGCAAGTCTAAAAGTATTGCTATAAAATCATGGAAACCTTCATTAAGCCTATCAAATAGGAAGCTATTGTCTCCCAACATATCTGTCATGTAGGTCTATAGGCTTCGGAAGGAGGTGTCTCCCCCTCTCGAACCCTCCCCCAGGGAATTCTGTGTTCTTTGTTTTTAACCACATCACAATGGTTGGTCAGTGGTGCCCTCAAAGACCTCGGTCTTCCTTTTGTGTTCCTTTTCAATGTTTTCGGAACAAAAAGAAGTCTGAAGTGAAATCAAGGCAGTTGGGTAGATGGGATAAAGTTTTGCAACAAAGGTAGACCTTGCTAGCCTTGAAGATTGAGCCAGGTGCATTGTCATGACGGGAAAAAAATTCTTTGGTGCAACTTCTCTGGCCTTTTCCTCACCAATGCAGTGTTCCGTTGTCTTAAAATTTCTTCCTAATAAGCTCCCATGATGATCATGTCTTTCAAGAGTGTCTATCAAGATATCAAGACTTTTGTATCTTAAAAAAAAAAGAGAGAAACTTATACAGCTTCAATAATTTGGAGAAGTGTCCACTTGAATTTTATGAAGGGTTTGATATTAGCAGAGACCCCAAAATCCTTTCCCCCCATGGAACACAACATACTTTGTTTTTTTAAGGCACCCTAACAAAACCAAGAGAGGTGTATTACTGGAGCACTTGTCTGCAACTGTCCACTAGTCATGAAGATGTTTTATGTTTAAACACGTTTTGTTTGGAATAAACCTGTGTGTGTGATCTGGGACCCTTATAGCAACACTTTTTGACTTGCCTTCTCCTGTGCTAGTGAGCCCACTCTGGATCCAGGTAGCCCCTGACCTCTCGGTATACCATAAAAGTTTTGACCTTTGGCATACCCATGAAATAGATAAGATTTCTCTTTTTCCCTTTTGCAGGTACTACTGTGATCATTGGTAATAGAGTGGAACTGGCAAGGATTTAAAGCTAGGTGGAATGGCTTTTACTGCTTTCAAGAGAAGGCATCATCTAATATTTAGGATTCGTGCCTAGTTGGATAGCTCAAGACACCATGCAAGGGTTTAAGTTGAAGCCCTTTCATGAATTAACTACGTACCCAGAGATCAATCAGGAAGGAGCTATGTGCTCTAGCTCCCCAAACTCTGAAATGGGAATAATAATGTTTACTCTCACTACCTCACAGGATTGTGAGGAAGACAGCAAAATTGCAGAAAGTGCTCTGAGATGTAAAAAGCTAAATGAAAGTTATTATTTATATGGGCTGTGATTTTCATGTCGAGGTAGAACGCTTATTTCACTCTAAAGGCAATAGCCCACTCATTCTTGTCACTTTTATTAATAACCAACGTAAGCAAGTGCACCAAGTACCTTTCTTGGCCAACGTTCCAACATCTGTGTGCACCTCCTTTTTGGTTCGTTGGTTGGCACGCTTTGCAGTTTACAAGAACATTGTTATACAAGACTCTACACCAAACATTCTGAAAGCTGAAATGTTGCATAAAATATGCTTCAAACAATCTGCCCAACATAATACCAAGTTTCCTGGTAACATAAAAAATAACTGACTGCTGGTACTCTAGAAGGTGGCATGTCTATAAGTGACTGGTGTGTATGGATTAAACCGTGGAAGTTTTAGTGACATCCCAGAATAGTGCTGAATGGATGCATTTGAAAGCTGTAGAAATAACTCAAAATTTTGATTTCATAAAAATCTCATTTTCGAAGTATTTAACTCTATATAGCCCACGAGTATCTGGGAACTGCAGTAAAGCTAATGACGCTTGTAAAATACACATTTGATGTAGTGCAATATTTTTGTATTGCTGGGAAGAGGTGGTTAGAGGCATCACAGCTGTATGTTAGTGCCAGGGGCGAACCTCGTAAATGGCCTAAGTAGAGTAAGATGCAAGGCTTCCACACAAAACTTGTACTTTATTACATTCCTGATGTAATCTCGCTGCCATGCTATGTTGTCAATAGCTTTAACAAACAATAAAGACTATCACAGAAAACAAGAATATCTTCAGTTTGGTGACATCTGCCCGTGCATTTGGTATAATCTGTCCGTGCAAACAGGCTCAGTAGTCTTCACTCTCACGAAACAAAATTACTATTTTGCTAACTTTCTAAATATATTAATTTTTTCCCACTGCTATTTCCTTAACCTGTGAAGTGTCAAGATTTATGGATTTGCCTCTGCATTATATTTAGTGATTGTAGTTATTAAGGTCCATCGAGCTGAATTCCAACTCTTTTTTTTTAATCGTTTTATTAGGGGCTCCTACGACTCATCACAATCCATACATACATCAATTGTGGAAAGCACATTTGTACATTCATTGCCCTCGTCATTCTCAAAACATTTGCTCTCCACTTAAGCCCCCGGCATCAGGTCCTCATTTTTCCCCTCCCTCCCAGCTCCCCCTTCCCTCATGAGCCCTTGATAATTTATAAATTAATATTTTGTCATATCTTTCCCTGTCCGACCACCCTGCGTACAACAGAATGAAGTGCCAGCCCCTCTGCCACCCTCATAATCATTGCTGTTTATAAGTCCATCATTGTTGCACCCACTGTGTCAGTCAGTCCAATGGAGGGTCTTCCTCTTTTTCTCTGACCCTCCATCAATCGTGATGTCTATTTCCTGGGGCTAGTCGCACCTGATAACATGTCCCCAAGTACAGGAGACGCAGTCTCCCCATCCTAACTTCTAAGGCACAGTCTGGCTGTACTTCTGGGCCGTTTGTTCATTCTTGGGTAGTCCGTGGTGTATGCGATATTCTTTGCCAACACCATAATTCAAATGCATCAATTCTTTGTTCTTATTAGTGGTCCGGGTTTTACGTGAATCTGGAGCAATTAGAAAACACATGGCTTGGATCAGGCACACTTTAGTCTTCATGGTGACATCTTGCTTTTGAATACTCTGAAGAGGTCTTGTAATGCATCATGGGGTTTCCTCACTACTTTCATGAGTGTTGTGTAAGTAAAACAAAATCTGGGACAACTTCAGTATTTTCTTCATTTACCATGATGTTCATTGGTCTGTGAAAACGTTGAGGTGTGATCCATCCTGAGTCATATCTTCATCAATAGGTGCTTCAACTCTTGTATTCAAGCATGTGTATCGCCTTCATACCACATTTCAGTAATTCTTCCTCCAGCCTCGTTGCCCCGTTCTTAAATAATCCAGCTTCTGGATGATTTGTTCAGCATACAGATTGAATAAGTATGGTGAAAGGATTCAACCATGATGCACACTTTTTTGGTTTACAACATAACAGTATCCCTGTGTTCTGTTTAAACAACTGTCTCGGTGTGTGGGTTCCATATGAACATAATGTACTCTGTGGTTCCCATTTTCTCAGAATGTTACTATCATTTGTCCACACAATTGAGTGCCTTTACATAGTCAATAAAACGAGTATCTACTTTCAGTCATGATACTTCCAGACATCAGCAATGATATCCCTTGTTTCACGTCATGTTCTGAATGTGACAAGTTTCAGGAAGTTCTATATCAGTGTACAGCTGCAATAGTCTCAGTTAGCAGCAACTTTTACTTGTGGTAGTGACATTGTTGGATAGTTTCCACATTCTGTTGGATCACCTTTCTTTGGAATAAAGCACATTATGTATTCTTTCAGCTGGCCAGGTAGCTGTCTTCCAGATTTCTTGGATTAGATGAGTTTGGGCTTCCTGCATTGCATTCATTGGTTGAAAACCTTCCATTGGTATTCTGTTAATTTTTGGAACTTAGTTTTTCAGTAGTGCCTATTGTGCCACTTGGACTTCTCTCCTGTACCATCAGTTCTTAATAGCATGCTGCTGCCTGAAATGGTTGAAGGTGGACCACCAACTCTTCTGATACGGTAACTTCTTTTGATGTTTCTTGAGTCATTCAATATCTTGCCCATAGAATCCTTCAATATGGCAACTTGGGGCTTGGAGATTTTTCTGAGTTCTTCCAGTTAAAGTGTGAGGGTGTTCTTCCCTTTTGGTTTTCTATCCCATCCTTTCACATTGTAATGCTTTCTCTTCTCATTCCACCCTTTGAAATCTATTGTTCTTTACTTCATTTCTTCCTTTCACTTTAGTCTACACTCAAGAGCAAGTGTTAAAGTCTTTTCTGACATCCATTTTGTTTTTTCCCATCTTTCTAATGACATTTTGCTTTCTGTAAGCACCCAAGTAGCACAGTGGGGTAAGCGTTGGGCTGCTGATGGAGTGCTTCCCAGTTAGGATCCATCAGTCACTCACTGAGATGAGAAAAAGGAGGCTGTCTCTGTCTGTACAGATTGACAGCATCAGAACACTAGGAGCAACTCTACTCTGCAGCCCTAAAGGGTGGCTGTGAGTAGACATCAGCAAAATGGGCAGTGGGTTTACTTGTTTGGGCCCTGATGGTTGTACACGTTGGGCTGAAGAGTTTCAGTCTACCCTGCCCTATAGGGTCACAGAGCATCACCTCGATGGGAGAGTGAGTCCGTTTTCAAGTTTAAGAGAATATCTGAGTTTTCAAAAGGGCCATTTGAAAACTGGAACCTGTGTGAAGCAAAAACCTGTCAGAGAAGGAAAACAAATCTTTTCTACTAACAGGGATAGATAAATAGTCTGACTGAATGCCATCAAAGGCAGGAAACATGGAAGACTCAGGAAACAAAGGACAGCTTGTGAAGGCCCAGCTCACTGATCCCACTACATTTACCTCTTACAGTAAAACAGTGAAGGCAAAAAGACTAAGTCCCTCCAAGTTCATAAATTTAAAATCATCTTTATTTCTAAATACTTTTTTTTAATCCCTAAGAAAGGGAGGGATCCCCTTTGAGTCATTAATCCTCTTTGAAATCTGACTAAAGCTATGGGCTTTCACCTGGAAAGATAACCCCAGTGCATACCGGTGCAGACGTCCCCAAGTTCCAAGCAGTGTCCCATGGCTGGCACTGCCCTTCTTTCCATCAGAAACAGTTATTCACACAATTCAGGACAACAAAAGACCGACTGCAGAGTTACAAGAATAAACTTGCTGTGGTTAGGGTACAACATGACTAGTTATATATTTTTAGCTTAAGATAACTTGCACCCAAAAGTATCGCTCAAAGGAACCTGGAGTAGATTTGACCTGAAGCCTACAAGCAGTCTAGTCACAGACTAGATGATGCCTTGTGTGTTAGAATGACGGTGTCTGGTTTATAAAGAATACAAATAGGCACAGTGCAATGTTCAGAATATTTATTACATAAACTAGCTAAAACATGACTTGGACAGGTAGACTTTGTAGTCAAAAGAAGTGGTGATTGATTGTACCTCTAAGGTTTTTGTTACAAGGAGTCCCTGACTTACAAAGTATTGGGGTTAATGACCCACCACGCTTCAGACTGTCTGGGTTTTGTTTGTTGGACATTTTCTCATTTGTAAAATGGGCCATGTGCAATGATGCATCAGGTGGTTTCCTAATGTTATCATTTGCAGATGTTTAAGGGTTAAGTTTATAGAGGTACTAATAATGAAAACTGAAGAGTCATTGGACTGGAACCCCGTGGTAAGTTGGGGACTACCTGTGTTTGTTTTACCAGATAGAGACAAAACCTACTTGCTCAAAGATAAACACTCAAAACACTGTATAGTCTTGGTTCTGATACATAAGAATTTTTTTAATGCTCTTCTTTCCACATTCTTGCTAAAACCAAAATACTCATGCAAAGACCTTACCATCTCACTCTTAAGAGACTACATGTTTCTTCTCAAAACTGTCCTGGAGGGGTTAACCCCTAAGGATCAACAGTCGGCCTGCCCTGGAAGGAACTGAAGTCTTAGAGACAGAAACAAGTTAAGTTACTGGAAGTGGCAGGGGAACCCTAAGAGAATGGATTTATATACAACCTGTTTGCTCGTTTCTCAATTTGACCCCCTTCACATTATTATTGGCATTTTATCCGCATATCACACAATAGTTCAATCATACCAAGAAAAATTGCACAACTGATTTTAGAACATTTTCCTTCTTGCCTCCTGCCCCCATGACTAACCTGTTCCTTTTTAAAGCTATCCTGTAGAAGTCAAGAATGATCCTGCCTTTTCATCTTAACCATATAAATACCTTCAGAGCCATCTTCCCCCAACAGCAGACTTGTGGAAGTTGCCCAATGCAAATAATTAAATAGGAGTCCGTCCCACTTGCTTTCAATGCACTGGACGTGGGAAGCAGACTTGGCATCACCTTGGACATCATCAAGCAAATGGAGATTTAAATATTCGCTGCTTTCCTAAAGAATAAGAAATAGTCATAAGCTGAGGAGTCTTTGTTCTAAAGTGTTTTCTCCTTGGTGTCCAAGTAAACAAGAACACAACTGTAGCATCACGAATTAGGTCACTGTTGACAATTACAGAGCTGCAGAATTAGGAAGTATTTAGACAGTCCACATGGTCACCACGCTCCAAACACAGCTCACACAGGACTTGTTGGAACTGATAATAATTCACTAACAATATTTGCTGTTACATTAAAATGGCACAACAACATGGTCACACTTGAATAAGCTACATTACACAACACAAGATGGACATTAGCACAGATGTTTTCAGATACTAAGGTTTCCTTTCCTGCCTTGTGAAGGGGTGTGCCCTACCCACCCTATTTTACTTATATTCATAATATGCAATTTAACAACTTCATTCTTTTTAAGATGTCTTTACATGGATGTGAACAACTAGCTCTAGAAAACAGTAAGTTTCAGACAACCCAAATTAATGGAAAACATGACCTCCAAGGGGATCAAAGGTATTAGAGTCAAATTTTTCTCATGTTGTTTTATTTTACTATGCATAAGCCACCTCAACCATGTAGGGTACCCCGGACCCTCAATTTTCCTTTATCTGACAAAACAATCTAGATGACATCTTAAAGGGAAAGCTGCTAATTATTCATAGCTACATGCTTGGATGCTCTTCTCTGCTTTTAGAGCATTTAATATTTTTCCCTTATTAGTTTTAACATTTGCTGCCAACCACATGACATGTAAACATAATTTATAACCATCTGTTTACAGGTAGGTGATTACACAGACAACTAATGCTGGATAAGTCCAGGAGATGACCAACCAAGTCCGTGTCTCCTGCCCTTGATATTGCTAGCATTTAACTCAAGTATACTGATCATAATTATAAGTTCAGCCACAGGACTCATCATAAAACTTTCCGTCTTACGTGATTCTGTTTGCCAGCCATCCTTTTAGCTTCCCATTGTTGGAAAAGTCTCAGAGTGTATACTTTAGTTTGAAACACTCAATACCATTACTCTGGGGGGAATAGGATTTTTTTTTTTTTTTTGCCAAGCGCTCATGAATATAAGTTTAAAAATTATATTTGATTTGGATTCAAATACTTAAAGATTTACATTATACCTGTTTCATTAAAATATATTGTACAATATTTAATAACATCAAATCCATGAAATAAAGTTTTCAACACTACTTGTACAAACCCATAGAAAAAGCGTTTTCTTTATAAGGCTGTTGGCAATCGATGTAAGCATGGGGAAAAAATCGTGACCTTTGGTTTCTGTACTCTGACAAGGGATGGGCAGCATTACATGACTACGACAGGTTAGGCAAGTCACTTCATTGGAAACACTGTTGGACACAATACTTTGATGACTTTGGAGGTGCTCAGTCACTTTCAGATTCTTCGTCGTCACCTATTGGATATGATTGGATGTTGTTCTGGGTGTACATTTTTGTTTTAATGGGGCAGTTGTGGTCCATGAGGATAGCCTAGAAGAGAGCAAAATAGAGGCATGTTAACTTCTTGTTTCATAAAGATGGAATGGCTTTGACCTATTCTTTCTTAAGGCTTACTAGGTTGGAAGCCGGGTAGAGCAGCTGGCATTGGAGCCACTGCCAGGAGGCTGGCCTGGATTTGGAGCTCTGTAATCAGTGAAAGTTCTAGGCAACAAGGGATGGAAGAAGTGGTCTCAATGGGGTCTTTCCATTGTGCCTCTCAAGGGCCATAAGTCAATTCCAGGGAACCTGTACCCTAAGAAGGAGAACAAGCTAGGTTTAGGAAGTAGATTTAGGATCTTGGAACGGGTGGGAAGATCCTAAAAGTCACCCATCCCACCACTGTAGCTACCCATTTAGTAAGGCCACACTCAATCCTGGATGGGGAGAGCTCACAGTATTAGACATGCCCCTGATGCTGCACTGAAACCTGTCTCCAGACTCAATGGAACTATTTGGGATATGAGCTACTAACAGACTGCCCTAACCACCTTTTAAGATCCCCTGGCCCATTATATTTCTCTGAGCCAAACATCCAGTGACTTTATCATTCCATTAAGTTGTTGCTAGCTGTCCTCTAGCTCATATGTATGATGTATATGTTAAGCCATCCTTTTCTGAAGAACATAAAAGCCCCATTCTTTATCTTCATTGAAAAACGAAAACTGTGATGGCTGACAAAGCAACGCTTTGTTTTCCAACTGCATCCTCAGTTGCTATGTGCACCCAATTGGTGTTCCTACTGTAGGAGTATGGAGCCAAGCACAGAGCCGTAGGCTAGGTGCAGGAACTTGCCGAGACTGCTAGATGCAATCCCTTCAACTCACACCCTCAGTGGGAGAGTGAAGACACAACATAGACAGCACCCAGAGTCGACTCAGAGCAGTGGAAGGCATCGAGTGCAACTAAACTGAATTATCTTTTTCCATTAGGTATATCTAATGGAGTTTCCTTCTTTCATGCAAACTAAGCCAATCCACCACCACCCTGCAATATCTTTTTTGTGCATTTTAGAAATCTAAATGGAAATGTTTGAGGGGACTTCCAGGAAGATGGCAACTGAGTAACATACCAGAGAGCCTCCGCAGAAATCAGCACAGGAGAGTTACTAAGAGGGAAATTCCACACTGCTGGGTCACAGGAGGAGCATCATAAAGATAAGTAGGCACGGGTACACTAGGTATTGAGGAGCTGGGGATTTTGGCTTACTGCAGTGAGGGCCAGCTAGGATTTGACCTTAGCCCCTCCACTGTCTCAGCCAGAGCCGGGATCATTTGGAGCCAGTACAGGGGCTTTATCTCAACAGCCACAGCTTGTCACCGCCTTGGGTCAGGGATTAAACCCCTCTAGCCCCACGATCAGGGATGGGGCCTCAGCTTTATTGTTTCTTTTGTTTCCCTCTCTTCTCTATCCCGCCACAATCTCAATGGGCTTAGTTTTTGTTTTGTTGTTCTTTTTTTCTCTTTTCCTCTACCCTTTTCTCTCACACGCCACTGCCAACCTCCAGACCACTCCCCTTAGCCTAATGTCTTTATGCCTTCCCTCCACTCAGCTGGGAGAGCTCCACCCTCTGCAGCATAACCCAAGGCTGGGGAAAACTAGCCACCCTCCACCAGGGTATATCCCGCCCAACTCCTTCCTGGGGAAATTCCGCCTGCCCCGTCCTCTGCAGTGCTTAACACATGGCTAGGGAAATCCTGCCCACCTTCTTTGGGAGAAATCCTGCCTGCATGCCTGAGGGAGTCCTATCCATCCTCTGTGGTGCCAGGTGACTGAGGGAACTTCCTCCCACCTGCCATAGTGCCTCACATGGCCTAAGGCAGCTTGGCCAACACTCGCTAACATTCCACACTGCTGCGGGAACCTCTGAAGTGATCTACCTGACCAGGGAAATTCTGCCCACCATTCCCGGTGCTCTACACCAAAGCAAGCAACCCGCCAGCCTTCTGTGGGACTCCTGTTGCAGCAGGCACCCCTGCATGCCCTCTGTGGAGCCCCAAGCTGCCATGGGCCACACCATCACGGCTTCTTGTGAGATCACCCAGTGCAGCACCATCCTCATGGGTCCACTACAACTCAACCAGCAACCCCTAAGGAGACCATCCAACTTGCCCCCCCAAGCAACAGAATATTGGTTAATTGGAGAAAAAAATGAAGCCACAGGAGGATAAAGTGGTAGGCTAATTCCATAGTGAAATTAGCAGCAGGCAGTTCGAAGAAGCATTCCTACGAGTCTCCCAGAGAGAGTCGGTGCTCTTTGACTTCCTGGAAAATGGCACCTGGCTCCTCTAAAACAACGCAACTCAAACAGCCATCAGCCCCAACGACCTCAACGAAAAAACAGGAGAAACAAAAGGCAACGGGAGAAGATGTCCTGACCCTAATGACATGCATAGAAGCAGATATTGATCTGCCACAGAAAGAAATTTTCAGAATGCTACTTGGAGTCATACAGGATATGAGGGAAACAATACAGAAAAAGGATGAAATGATAGAGGAGATAAAGTCCATACACCAAAGGGAAATGCAAGAGTTTAGGGACGAGATAACAAAAACTAATATCAGACTCACGGACTTCACCAATCAACTGGAGGAGGCAGAGAACTGCACCAGTGACCTAGAGGACAGCCAAGCAGACTTTAACAAATGTAAACAAAAATCTAATAAGATCATCAGAGAAGCTGAAGAAAACCTAAGAGCTATGTCTGATACTATGAAGAGGAACAACATCAGAATAATTGGATTACTGGAGGAAGACATAACAAAGAAGTCATCTGCAACAATAGTGAGAGAATACTTGGAGGAAAACTTCCCCACCCAGCTTAATGAATGAAAACCAGGCAACCATTCAGAAGGCTGGAAGAACACCTAGACTGAATCCCAAGAAGTCACCAAGGCACATAATAGTTAAACTATCCAACTTTGAGGAAAAGGAGAAAATCATAAGAGCAGCTACGGAAAAACAAGCAGTCCCATATAAAAGTTCCCAAATAAGAATATACTCAGACCTATCAGCAGACACTATGAAGAAGGGGAGAGAGTGGAGTAATATATTCCCAAAACTGAAGGAAAATAACGCAAACCCAAAAATACTCTACCCAGCCAAATTATCTATCAAGATAGATGGAGAAGTAAGAGTCTTCCCTAACAAGGAAAAACTCAAAGAATCCTTTAGAAGAAACCCAGCCCTACAAAATATCCTTGCCAACCCAATATGGGCAGAAGAAAAGCACTCACCAAGCATAAATAAGAGACCACCACATAGAACAACCCCACCAAGAGGGCAACAGAGAAAACAATCCCCAAGATAGCATTGGCTTAAGGGTGGAAAGAAGTAAAGAATCAAACACACACACGCGCGCATACGCACAACACACTGATAAGAAAGGGAGGTAGGAAAACCCAACACAAAAGGTAAATGGTGACATCACAGAGTCCACAGATGGAGATAATAACACTGAGTATCAATGGACTGAACTCAGGCATTAAAAGACGGGGAATAGCAGGCTGGCTTAGAAAACCCAACCCTTCAATCTGCTGCCTACAGGAGACACATCTCAAGACTACAGACAAATTAGGCTGAGAATCAAAGGCTGAAGAAAAATATACCAAGCAAACAGCTATTCAAATAAAGCAGGGCTTGCAATCCTAATCTCAGATAAAATTGACCTCAAAGAGCAAACCATATAAAGAGATAAGGAGGGACACTATATAATGCTCAAGGGAACTGCAGACAAAGAATCTCAGCATTTTAAACGTATATTCCCCAAATGAGAGAACATCTGAATACGTCAACCAAATGCTCCAAAAGATGAAAAAAAAAAATCACAGCCTTAACAATTATAGTAGGTGACTTCAATACACCACTCTCTGAGAAAGCTAGGTCACAGGGAAAGAAACTCAACAAGGAGGCTAGAGATCTAAACACTACAGACAATTTGACCTGATACTTACAGAGCTTTTCATCCAAATTTCAAAAAAGTCACATTCTTTTGAAGCCCACGTGGCACATATTCGAAGATAAACCACATCCTGCAGCATAAGACGATTCTGCATAAATTTCAGCACATTGATATCATACAGACCTCTCTCTCTGACTACTGTGCCATAAGGCTGGTAATCAAACGGAAGATGAAGAAAACAAGTGCAAACAATTGGAGAATGAATAACTCTATTGCAAAGGGAGTGTATACTGGCTTGGATCAGAGATGAAATAAGGAAATGTCTAGAAACCAATGAGAATGAACACAGCGTACCAAAACTTATGGGACACAGCAAAGTCAGTTATCAGAGGAAGTTTCATAGCAATACATGTGCACATGAAAAAGGAAGAAAGACTTATGATTGATAAGCTGGCACAAAATTTACAGCAACTAGAGCAGAGTCAACAGGACAATCCTACTAATAGCAAAAGAAAATAAATAATAAAAATCGGCTGAAATTCAGGAGAGGGAAAATAAATCTATGGGGGGAAATGCTGCTAAAAGTTGGTTCTTTGGAAGGATAAGCAGAATTGACAGACCACTGGCAAACCTAATGAAAGAAAGGAGGGAACAAATTTCAATAGTAAGGATGAAGGATAAAAGAGGGGACATTAAAATAGACCCTAATGAAATAAAAAAGGACAATTACACAGTACTATGAAGGCCTGTACTTCAATGAATTCAACAACTTGAAAGACATGAACAATTTCTGGGAAAAACAATTCCTCCCTAGACTATCTCCAATGGGCATCAATAATCTCAACAGATCCATAGCTATAGAAGAAATAGACAAGGTTATCAAGGGATTACTAACAAAAAAACTCCCCCGGACCAGATGGCTTCACAGGAGAATTCTACCAAGCATTCGGGGAAGAATTGACACCAATCTTACACAAAATCTTCCAGAACACGGAAAAAGACGGCAAACTCCTGAACTCCTTCTATGAAGCTGATACCAAAACTGGGCAGTTATCCCACAAGAATCGAGAACTATAGACCAATGTCCTTAAT